TGTTCGGGTCTTTTTCCATGAAAGATTGAGAGTATCTTTTATGTTTTTATGTTTTATGACGGCAGCTCCGATCATGCTTTGCTCGCACAAGCACGAAGCCGAAAGCACCAGCCTGAAAATGGCGAGTGGGACCTCGTCGAAACATCACCAAGATACTTTCAATCTTACATGGGAAAAGACCCGAACACGCCAAGACCTGCATGTATATATATATATATATATAAAGGCACGGTCTTATTTTGGGGGAAACATGGTATTAATGTACTAGTAAAATAAAGAGATATAAATTCTCTCCTGTGGGTGATTTTAGCTTTTTTTTTTTTTTAAAGAAAGACAAAGTTTGTTATTTGTTGGTTACCTGGCCCGAAGATCAGCTAGTTGATCCGTCATCTGGCCCAACATTTTGCAAGTGCCTAGAATCTCCTGGCGTTCTTTACCTGCGCACAATTCTCCAACGTTTCCTGCTTCATCCAGGATTTGTCTTATGGCTTGTTCACCAGCGTCCCCTAGGAAGCAAGAATGGGGTGAATAGAGGCCATATATCTGATGGAAGTAGGTCAATTCTGCTATCAAAACAAAACAAAACTCAATAACATGGATAAATGAATAGAATTTAAAGTTCCGAGATCCACATTCTCTTAAACAAGGAGTGGTTGGGCCAAAATAACAGGCAGCAAATTCAGTAACAGATGAAGGAGAGTAAAAAACATGTCCCCATGTCAATTATCCCATGTTCCAGAGGAGCTGGTGCCAGAGGTTGATAGTATCCTTGGCTTGACCAAATCTACCACTGGAGATGAACTGCTGGCACCTCAACCATGTCAGTTGTTGTCATGCCCCTAGTGGAGACTGACTCTGAGGGAGAGGAGGAACAGCCGACAGGGAGTGGAAGTGTGGCTCCGGAGCTTGTGGAGGAGGCTGGGGAAGGGCTGAGGCCGGCTGGGCAGTCAGAGGAGGACCCAGGCCCATCCCCTCTCCATCCTAAGGCATGCAAGGAGGAGAGGATAAGGGAGAGACGTGGTCTACTGGGGAGGAGAGGGCCTTGATCCTCTTCATGGGCTGCAGCTGTGACAACTGGATAAAAGGACAGACATGCGTACTGGTGAGTGCTGGAAACAAAGCGTGGAAATATCTCTAGTTTATTGTTCCTCTCTGAGTTTGGCGTCCTTCCCAGTGTGTGTTCTGATATCTGTGGACATCTTCAAGCCCTTATCTTGCTTGGTTTGTGTTGTTTTTTTACTCTTTATAATTTAAACAGCATCTCCTCCTTCTTGTAACTGCTTGTGTGGGAGTTTTTTTTGTCTCCAGTCAAGGATATTTGGAGTTTGGGAGCAAAGTGAAGGAATAAAAGGGACTTCACCTGTTTTTTGTGACTGTGTTTATTTTGTATCCCACCCTGGGTCATCACAGTTGTTGCTGGAGCTAATATTAGGAACCTGCAGGCCAAGTTCTCATTAGCAACAGCACTTAGACTTATATACCGCTTCACAGTGCTTTACAGCCCTCTTGAAGGAGTTTACAGAGTCAGCCTCTTGCCCCCAACAATTTTGGGTCCTCATTTATCGACCTCGGCAGGATGGGAGGCTGAGTCCACCTTGAGCCTGGTGGGATTCGAACTACCAAATTGCAGGCAGCCATCAGTTAGCAGAACTGGCCTGCAATACTGCACTCTAACCACACCACCACCACAGCTCGTTAGCTGCCTGTTAAATGCAACCCATTGGGTTTAAAAAAAATGTTTAGGTGTTAGTCTTGGGAAAGAAAATAAATAAAATTCTGCAAATCTGGAGCCAATATTTGTCTTACTAATATTACTATAACTTTATTGCTATTTTACTATTACTTTAACTATAATATAGTTAAAATGAGTTGGTTACATTAATCTGAACAGCACAGCATGGCATGTGTCAGAAGTTATTCCATCAATTCACAATTGGATCAGCACTTTGGGGCCAACATAATCAAATGGAGATGGAGACAAATTGATTTAATTAATTATAGAGTTCTGCTCAAATACAGTATAATTATTTAAATATGGATTGTATTTCTTTACAAATGAGTTATGCTAATACAGCAATAAATATGCAATCACCAAGATCAGAAACCATTCCAGAATATTAATTAAGGAAGATGACGAGCTAAATTCTTTGGAAAACTTAACAAAATAAACAAAGATTTCCAAACTCTTCTTCTGGAGCAGCTTGCCCACTAACGCAGGGGTCTACAACACGGGTGTCCAACCTTGGCAACTTTAAGACTTGTGGACTTCAACTCCCAGAATTCCTCAGAATTCCTCAGCCAGCCCCTGGTCTACAACCTTGGTAACCTGAAGATTGGTGGACTTCAGAGCTATACTGGAGGTGTCTATCACCAGAAAGTATACCGAAGGGATCACTCGAGCCAGACAAGTCTCAAAGTTGAAAACATTCTCAAAGATCCATCTCATCCTGGGCACCCTTGTTTTGAACATCTGGCAGATGGTACAGGACAATAAAAACAAGGACAAATGGGCTGAAAAACAGCTTCTATCCCAGGGCAGTAACGCCATTGAATTCTACTGTATAGGGCAATATTAATGCAGTGTCAGGGGTTTTCAATTCAACTGTATAGAATGCGAAGGATGTGTGTTTGTGTTTTATTTTTTTACTAGCTTTTCAGGTGGGGAGGGGGAGTAGAACTCCTTAGCATCAGAGTGTGTTAATCAAGGGTCTTCAAACTTGGCAAGTTTAAGACTTGTGGACTTCAACTTCAACATTTCTTTACTAAATGCAGACTATAAAATTTTTGCTTCAATTTTGGCAGAAAGACTTAAAAAATACTTAAATAACTTTATTCATTCAGATCGAAGTCCACAAGTCTTAAAGCAGTCAAGTTTGAAGATCCCTGGTGTTAATAATAATATACGAAATACTAATGCTCTGATGGTCATTTCAAAAAATCCTTTCTTAGTGAGCACCTAGAAGCCAAGAGGAATATACGTGCCAAATTTCAAGTTTGTAGGCTTTACAGTTCTGGAGATTTTGTGATGATGCATGAGTGGTCTTTCGCTTTTATATATAGAGATGTATAATGTACACTGAAGATGGCATTTAATTTCATTGTACAAGGTGCAATGACAAACTAAACTAAACTAAACTAAGGAATCAAACTAAAAATATCCAGGATCCATTCACCACAAGACAACATAAAAGGACTCCCATACCAGATTATCATTGCCCGGGTTAACAAGGGCCGCAGCAAAGGGGTTTAATTTAGTCCTGGTTGCATTCCCCCTCCCCCCATATTTCTCTTTTGAATAATATTCTTTCATATTGTCCCATCCCATTTCGATCTCTGTCCACATTACCTGCGGGAGCAGTGGGGTCCCTCAGCCACCCCTTGGCCTGGTTCATCTTGGAATCGATTAAAGCCAGAGCTCTCTTCATGGCTTCCGTGTCCTTTGCGGGAAAAGGAGAAAACAGGAGATTATCCTCATAGATGAACTAACAAAATCCAATTTAGTTGTATGCAATTTACAATGCAAAAGTCTTCTTGGGTTTGCAGGCAATGCTCTCCCGCGAAGAAGCCAACTCATGGAATTGGTCAGCTGCGCGCGTATGAAACATCGGGCGCATTTCTGTTACTCAAAATGCATGAGGTATAGGGCATGCACTCTATAAGGCCTTATTGAGATCCATTGTTTTCCAAGCACAGAACACTCCAGAGAAAAAGAAATAGGTTGGCATTCAGAAGAAGTGTTAAATCTTTCCCCTCAGAAAAATAGAATAATAGCCACAGACAACACCCCCATGCACCCTTCTCTGCCCATTCCCTCCATGGCCGGTGAGATTATTCTTATTTATTGGTATCTAAGGCATTAAAGCAGAGACATCCCCCTGCCAACAAAAGTGCGTAGAGTCAAAGCTATGGCTTTCCCAGTTGTAATGTAGGGCTGTGAAAAAGTCGGACTATAAGAAAGGCTGAGCGCCAACGAATGGAGGCCTTTAAACTCTGGGGCTGGAGAAGACTCCTGCGAGTCCCTTGGACAGCAAGTTGATCCAATCGGTCAGTCCCAGAGGAGATCAACCCTGACTGCTCTTTAGAAGGCCAGATCCTGAAGAGGAAACTCAAAGGCTTTGGCCACCTCATGAGAAAGAAGGACTCCCTGGAGAAGAGCCGAATATTGGGAACAAGCAAAAGATGAAGGGGATGGCAGAGAATGAGGTGGCTGGATGGAGTCACTGGAGCAGTAAGTGTGAGCTCCAGAAGATGGTAGAGGACAGAAAGGCCTGGAGGAATGTTGTCCATGGGTCGGACACAACTTCGTGACTAACAACAACAACAAAACGCATTAAAGAGAAGGAAAAAAGATGATGCCATGCCCCATGGATTAATTAGATATAGCACTGGATTATAAATTTTCTAAAAGTCCCTCATTTTCTAGTTCTTATTTCTCAGATAAAATGATGGCTGACTACACCAGCAATATGAAGGTTCCTACAAGCGTAGAAAGTGTAGGCTCCCTATTCACACCAACACACCTTTGGGACTGCCACGGAAATGTTTCAAAAGAGCCCATGAGAAGGTCAAAGTCAAGGTCCAATAGAAAATGCTCTTTTGCCAATCACCACAGCACCACGTAACAATCAAAACACAAAGCAGATACCCAGCTGGGTTCTTCAAACCTTGCATCACACCACAAGATGCAATTTGGAGCGTGAAAAGACTTCAATGAGATATAAAACATACATACATACATACATACATACATACATACATACATACATACATACATACATATATATATATATATATATATATATTCTTAAGTTTTCGCGGGTACTTACATGTATGGTGTTTGGCTTGGTTCGGGTATTTTCCCACGTCCACATACATTGGACAGACCAATAGAAGAATTAGTACCCGCTTGGATGAACACAAAAATGCAGTCAAAAAGCTGGAACACACTTCATCACTAGTCCAACACATGAAAGCCACAGTTCATAGCATCAACTGCACCAAAACCCTAGCCACTATAGAAAACCCCAGCCACAGAATTATCAGAGAAGCCATAGAGATTGAAAAAAGACCTGAAAGCATGAATAGAAGAGATGATTCCACCAGACTGTCAATTATTTGGAAGCCTGCACTCACAAACAAAAAAATCTCCACACCACTAGCCAGGCTAATACCTGGGCACAAACAGATCCCCCCTGATACCTCCAGCTCAAACACACCCCAACCAGGCACCTAGATGAAACCTAGCTTCCTAACAAATGATAGCCGTCCATTTACTTGGAGCCAAGCTGCACTAAGAGCTTCCAATACAGGAACACAATGTTGCCAGCCAATCAAGACACACACAAAAAAAGCCACAAAACAGACAGAAGATATTAGAAACACCAATCAAACTCCAAGACCAATAAACACAGACCAAGACTCCCAACCAATCAGGATGAAGAAAAAACCATTCTGGCACAGCAGTAGGCTAGCCCCAAATTTAAAACTGAAACAACTGTAAAAGTCTGACTCACAGACGAACACTATACAAAAGCCTGATTGATGGCAGATGAGATTCTGCCGAAATGTTGCTACAACTTTAAAAGCACAACTACAATGACGTGGGAAAATACCCGAACAAAGCTGCATACCATACATACATACATACACACATACATACATACATACATATGTTTTCTTAAGTTTTCGTGGGTATTTATATGTATGGTATTCAGCTTTGTTTGGGTATTTTCCCACGTCGTTATTTTTGGGTTTGGGGTTATTTTGAGAGACCACGGGTCATCACATTTTGACTCCTGCAAATTCTAACTGCACAGTTGCAAACTTATATACATAGCTCCCACCTTCAAGCCACGAGGAGGATCATGGTAATCTCCTCTTGAGTACAAGGTGCAATGACAATAAACTAAACTAAACTAAATCGCTTTTCCCTGATCTTCTCCTCTCTGCGTGACCTAGGATGGAGAAGGGATGGGCCTGGATCCTCCTCTGACTGCTCAGCCGACCTCTGCCCTTCCCCACCCTCCTCCACCACCTCTGGAGCCACACTCCCACTCCCTGTTGGCTGTTCCTCCTCTTCCTCAGAGTCAGACTCCACCAGGGGCATGACACTAACCCGTAGTCTCTCAAAATAACCCAAAACATACATTAAAGTCCGGTAAGGCCTTCAACTTAAAATTCACTGTTTTATTAGGCACAGTTTAAAGTCACAAAAGTAAATAATGAGGCAAACAGAAAACCAAAACAAAACCGCATTGATGAGAGTTCCGAAGCAAACCAAGATAACTAATCATAAACTCCAGGAAAATAACTGAGAAAAGTCCATGGGAAGAATGCCAGCAAAGATAAACCTCTTTCAAGGTGAACACTAAATTGATTCCTGCAAATTCTAATTGCACAGCTGCAAACTTATATACATAGCTCCCACCTGCAAGCCACGAGGAGGATCATGGTAATCTCCTCTTGAGTAGACCTCGCTTTTCCCTGATCTTCTCCTCCCTGCATCTCCTAGGATGGATAGGGGTGGGCCTGGATCCTCCTCTGACTGCTCAGCTGGCCTCTGCCCTTCCCCAGCCTCCTGCACCACCTCTGGAGCCACACTCCCACTCCCTGTTGGCTGTTCCTCCTCTTCCTCAGAGTCAGTCACCACCAGGGGTATGACAAAAGGTGAGTACAGGTAGTCCTTGACCTATGGCCACTGTTGAGCCCAACATTTCTGTCACTAAGTAAGACAGTTGTTAAGTGAGTTGTGGCCCATTTTGCGACCATCTTTGCCACAGTTGTTAAGTGAAATCCTGCTCTCTCCTCCCCATTGACTTCCTTTGTCAGAAACCAACTGGGAAGGTCACTGTGATGACCCAGGGCATGACACAAAAATAACAAAGTCACAACCAATGAAAGGGATCAAGGCCTTTTTCTCTCTTGTAAGCCATGTTGCTCCCTTCTCCATTCCTCCCTGCGTGCCCTAGGATGAAGAGGGGGTGGCCCTGGGTCTTCCTCTGAATGCCCAGCCGGACTGTGCCCTTCCCCAGTTTCCTCCACAGCCACCGGAGCCACACTCCCACTCCCTGTCAGCTGCTCAATCTCCCCCTCAGAGTCAGACTCCAACAAGGGCATGACGGTCACAAATGGAGACCTCATGATCCTGGGACACCAACAACCGTCATAAATATGAGTCAGCTGCCAAGTGACTGAATATCGATCACGTGGCCATGGGGACGCTGCAATGGTGTCAACTCAAAAAACATTTCTATGCCTATGTCTATGTTTTAGGGTTGCCACGAACAGACGTGGGGAGGGGGTGGAATTTGAAAGAGCATTGCAGCAGTTTGGAACCGAAAGTGCATTCCATTATTATCTTGCAAAGATCGTAACTAAGCGACTGGAGTTTCTGCCGCCCGCAAATCACTAATTGGAGAATGTAATTGATGATTTCTTGGCTATGGACGTGTTTCGGTTGGAGAATATGAATTACGATGCACCCAGAGGGGGTGGGGAAATGAGGATCAAGGGTGACAGTGAATTACGCATCTCAGAATCGGCTGCAAACAGATCATGCCGACATGTTTGCTCCTAATAATTTTTTTACAGTTTTTGAAACTTGGCCGACAAATGGTCTTTACGTGTGAGAATCGATTATAAGTCACTTTTTTCAGTGCTGGTTGTAATTTCAGTCACTTAAAGCAATGGCTGTAAAGTCGAGGACTACCTGAAGGGTAACACTCGCCACACAGGAAACCACACAACACACAGCAAACACCCCCCCCCCGAGTCATGCTTTTCTGTTTTAGTAGAAAAGGCAGCAGTTGTGGGTTGAGGAAGAGATCTTACCTTCTAAAAGGGTGAGGGGAAAGGAGAAAATTAAAGAGAAAGATATATATAGATATATTTATAAGTAGTAGTTCTAAGAAAGAAATTATAATTAATAGCGGGCTAATCTGCTTGCAGTCCTAAGCGATAAGGGCCATCCTCTGCAGAGACTCACACATAATCACAGTTCTTCCTTCTGTCTATCACAATGATTAATAAGTCAGAATTCAACTCCTTTTTCACAGATTCGTGATTTAGTACAAACAGTGATTTGGAGACTGCAATTCCAAGGAAGCAAAGTGTGACTAAACTCTACGTGCTTATCTATTTATGCTTAAATCAATATGTTGTTTTTAAATACCCTACAAATTACTACTCTTACTTTTAATCTTCTCATCACTCCTTATCACCCATCCCCCCCCACTTGTGACTGTATGACTGTAACTTTGTTGCTTTTATCTTTACAATTTATATTGACTGTTTCCTAGCTTGATTTGATTGCTTATTGTACCCTATGACTATTATTAAGTGCCGTACCTTATGATTCTTGGTGAATGTACCTTTTCTTTTATGTACACTGAGAGCATTTGCACCAAGACAAATCCCTTGTGTGTCCAATCATACTTGGCCAATAAAGAATTCTAATTCTAATTCTAATTCTAATTCTTTTCTATCCTATCCTACAAGTCAGTTTACAGATAGCAGGAGATACAGTGCTGGGACAGTAAGTCAGAAAGCCGCAGAATCGAAACTAAATCATCTATATTTAATGACCCCATAACCTCTTGAGGGGTGGAGTCTGTGCAACTGAACGGAGCTAGCAGAGTGTTTTAATGGCTGGGTGCCTTTCCTGTCGCTAGTGTGGAGTTTTGTTCAGCAGATGTATTCTCAGTGTGCCAGAGAGAGAAATATCTGCCTTGACCTGGGATCGAACTCACAGATTGTGAGGCGAGAGCACCACCTCTAGGCCACCGAATCGAAACTAAATGTTGATTAATTTTCCCAGCAGAGCAGAAGAAAGGGGCTCAGTCCTTCAGACCACCTCCTCCCAGAGGAACACCCTCTGCTAAAACATAGTTTACCCTTACATGGAAACTGGATAGAAATGCACAGCTTCTGAGATGTTTTGACAGCTCTATGCCTCTCAACCCATTAAAATAATTAAAAGTCTCTGAAAACAGTCAAACCCATTTGTGCTGGTTGGCTGATTGGAAATTTGCAGCTTTCAACCAACATCAAAAATTCCTTTTAACCAATTTAGGTCTCAAGTCATAAATCTGAGGGGATTTTAAGGTGTCCATCTCAGAACTTGACTCCAGGAAGGAAGTCCACATCAATCATTTTAGGATGTGGGAACTTCAACTCCCGAGGTGCCCTTACGATGTCCCCAAGTCCACACATCTTAAAATGGGTGAGATTGAAAAACACTGATGTAGAGTAACATCCAGATTATGATACTTCATTTGCTTATTGGGTTGTGTCCCTGCCGGGAGATGCAATTTTAAAACAAATAGTCATTCAATTTTGTTGGAAATCTGCATATATTTAATGTTCTGCTAACAAAGGAATTGCATTGTCCTAAAGGTAAATTCATATACCAAAATTAACTGACATCACTCTATAAATTAGTACTTGTGGTTTGCTTGTTTGTTTGTTTTAAATATGGGTTCATGTCTAATCCTAACTCACTCTCAACCTACACAGCACACTTACTTTGCTGGCCCAAGCATCCTCATCCCAGGAAGTCAGCTGCAATACACGGATTATTTCATTTATTTCTGTACTCATCTTATCCACTGTAAATTTGCGGTTTTTCAAGGCTTCCTCAATTCCCTGGCTCTGAGAGTTTTTAGTTGTTACAAAAATCTTCATTGCTGCAGAAATGAAACAGAGGGTCAAACAATATCAGGAAGATACGCTAGGAAATGTCCTTTTAACGTAAACATGGGCAGAATAAATGATGATATTCAATGGCCGTATTCCCAAATTGATTAAAATAGTAGGATACAAACTTAAGGAAAGAAAAGTGTATAAAAAAGAAAGAAAGAAAGAAGAAAACAGCTTAGAAAACATAAAGAGAAAAGAAATACACGAGGAAGTGACTTCCGACTTTCACCATCACAGTTTAAACAATTGTAGTTACTCTTTACCCCTTCTAAAGTTATATTTATCTCTTTATCCCATATCTCATATTTAATTATAAACAAATCCATAAATCGTATTTTCAGTCCTGAAGTCAGCAGAAAGCCCAAAAATGGGTAGCCAGAAGTTACATCTTATTATAATCTTGATCAAATAAACCATATTTATATCCCTTTCTTTTACTTCTAACAGACTTAATCTTTGGTTCATTCAAATATTGTTGTAGGATTTGATTTATCTTAATTTCTTCTTTATCCTAGGACACAAGAGTTTTTCCAAGGCTTTAAACAAGCCTCTTTTGTAAATCCAATAGGGAAAAATATATCCAGGCCACTCTCTATGTTTCTCATCTGTATTTCCCTTTTAAATTTTAAAATCTCAGCCAATTTCTTTGGTAGACCCAGTGAAACATCCTGTTCTAAGTCATGCTCTTGGCTTTTGTCAGTTGTAAATCCACTTTTGATATCATTTCGATCTTGTCAGATACAATTTGTTTTACATCTGACATTTCTTCAAAAACATCTTTTGGACATAGTCTATCTATAGAAGCACCATCGTTACTGATGTTGTTGATATTGGGAGCTATGACATTCTTCAAAAGTCTTTTAAAAATGCTTGTGCAATTCACATTTGCAGATTTTTTTTTTTTTTTTTTGAAATAATCAGAAAGAGTATTTTTTTTTTCTTTGTCAAGATTTCAAGCTCAGACCGCCAGTGTTCAGTAACATTTCTTTTCTTAATCACAATTATTGGTATTGTTTGAGCCAAATGTTTGTGCTTTTCAACAAATGTAAAGACTGGATCTGAAATCCAATATTAGTAAGATCTTCATCTGAACCGCAGCGCTGGAGTCCATTTCAAGGCAAGAATCACAAATATACCAACATATAAATAGCCCATCCATTCACATGTCTCGAGAAGCCCAGCTTCCAGAATGTAAATAGGAGATATGTAGTCCATGTCAGCTGAGAACTTCTACCCCACATAAGACAGCCACAAATAAAATCACAGATTTAGTTATACGGTAGGGTTTATCAGACATATGAGAAGAGTTTATTTTTGAACACCTTTCACTATGCGTATTCCTTTGCTTCACAAATTTATGGCCTATGTCTTCACCAGTGGTAGGATGCTGCCGGTTCACACCAGTTCTAGCGAACCGGTAGCGCCGGTGAGCAGTTGGCCCCGCCTTTTCCCATGTTTTATTTCCTTGTTTGTGAGATCAGCTGATTCGTGTGGCAGAGTGGAATTGCCACACCTCAGCTGTTTTACTCACCAGCGCTGAATACAAGGACAGTTTTGAAGCGTAAAATCAGCAGTTTTTGAAGGCGCACAAGAAGCAAAGTGCTTTCTCATAGAACCAGTAGTAAAAAAGGGGGGGGGGTGACTTCCACCACTGGTCTTCATACAATCCCATGGTTTCCATACAAGTTTTGATCTATAGTTTACCTGAAATAAGGACGGGGAGGAGATCCTTCACCGTGTTCATAGAGTTGACCAGCATGACTCGGTGCTCTTGGTGAGTTAGTTCTTGCTGCCGCTCGTCAATCATCTTGGCCATCTTTGTCATTCCTACATCAAGGAAATGGAAGAGGTTGTCTTCAAGAAGCCACGTGTTGAGATTTCAGGCATTAAACATTAAAGGATCACTGAACATTAAAGGACCACTGAAAATGCTATTTCTCTTCAGGGGAAGTTTTTATCATTTTACCATATCTCCTTCCACCCATTCCTTCCTCCTCAGTTCAGCTAGGGGTCTGTAGGGCAAATTCTTTTTTTTTTTCTTTTTTTTGGAAACATAAGATGGCTGTGAAATGTGATGCTTCACTTTTCAATATATCAGCTTCTTGAAACAGGGAGCTAAAGAGACGCTGGTGGGTAGCACGAGAACCTGTGGTCTCATTAGTCCTTTAGAAGGACCCCACTTTCAGTGACTAACCCTGTCCATGTCTTTTTTTTTAAATTTAAGACCTTTATTGAAATTTGAAACATTAAAAGACAAGTAGATCTAAAAATAACTTTGTACAATTCTCCATCTTCTTTTGACAGTACAAAAAAATCTTGATTATATTCATACATTTCCATACATTTCTAGTTAATCGTATACATATATTCATATCTTCTTCTGATCTATACATTTCTTATTCCTACTATCTATCCATTGATACCAGTTATCCCAAATGGAATAATATTCCGAGTCTTCCTTATTGTTTAATTCTATAGTGAGTTTGTCCATTTCTGCACAATCAAAAAAAAAATATTTGGGGAGTAAACAATCTGTCTGTATAGTGGCCATTTCCCAAGATTGTGCAAGTGCAGTTCTTGCTGCTGTGGTAATGTGGTAATATTTTATCTTTTTAGGATACTTTCCCTTCATAATCCCCAATAGAAACAATTCCGGCTTCAATTCTATTCGGCAGTGTGTAATTTCAAACCCTGTCCATGTCTTGATGGGCTTACTGGTGGAAAGGGTTGGCTTTGTTTAATTGTGCAAGGAGCAATCGTAGGTATCAAAGCTATGGCTGCCGTCTTTTGATCTCTTGACTCCTTGACTAGTCCAACATTTGAAACTATTTGGCAATTTCTGCAAGCCAGGAAAACTGGGTCCATCTGAAGGTGTTGGATCAAAATCTGGCCACTCCTTCTCTGCAGTGCTTTCAAAGGGCCATGAATCCCACAGACACAGCTCAGGAGAATCCAAGAAAACCACATTCTGGAAGTCCCAAAGGTGCTTTTTTCAAGAGGCCACTGAACTTTCTGGTTTTGCTTTGAAGACGTTTTCGCTTCTCATCCAAGAAGCTTCTTCAGCTCTGACTGGATTCCATTCTCCACCATCCAGTCAGAGCTGAAGAAGCTTCTTGGATAAGAAGCGAAACGTCTTCAAAGAAAAACCAGAAAGTCCAGTGGCCTCTTGAAAAAAACACCTTTGGGACAACCATGACCTGGGTGACTGAGAAATCTCCACAGATACATTCTAGAAGGTTCTGGATGAAAACAGACCAATCCCCAGGAAGTCAGAGACATCCAAGGGCTCTCTAACCTGGTCCCAAATTCTTTGTGTAGGTCACCAAGTCTTCCATTGTCTCCACCACTTCAGCCACTGTGAGGTATTCCAGAATTCCTTTGCAGACGCGGATGATTTTACGGACCTGAAAGAAAATAAATACAACTATGAAATAATTGGGTAGGTTCTTCTTTCATTTCTTTTGTTACCAGCCGATTGTTTTAAATTAAATTGAACTTAGGCAAGAAAACCAAAAGTACACATATAGACTGGGTAAAACCAGGTTTAATAGCAATAACTGTGAGAGGGATCTTGCAGTCTTAGTGGACAACCAATTAAACATGAGTTAACAGGGTGTGGTGGCAGCCTGTAGAGTTATAATTGCAGGAATGTTCCAATCTCGGATGGCAAACCTCAGATAAAGAATGTTTCCAAGCAAATACAACTCAGGCAAACAAAGTCACTAATCTATGGATAAAGGAGGATTAGAGAGGGGAAGTAGACATATGTTAGACTTTAACTAGAGATAATTAATTGTATGGATTACTGTACTAAACAGTAACGAAAGTTAAGCAGTAACCAAAGTTAACCAATGATGGAGGATAACTAAAAATGTATATAAATGCAAGACTATACTCCAATAAAGATCATCATAATTCAGTTGTTCATGATCAAACAACTTGACTGCCTCGTCATTACAACAGCAGCCAAAAATGCCAACACAATTCTAAGTTGCATTAACAGAGGGATACAATCAAGATCAAGGGAGGTACTAACACCACTCTATAAAGCCTTAGTATGACCACACCTAGAATACTGCACCCAGTTTTGATCATCAGACTATAAAAAAAGATGTTGAGATTCTAGAAAAAGTGCAGAGAAAAGCAACCAAGATGATGAGGGGACTGGAGGCTAAAACATACGATGAACAGTTGCAGGAACTGGGCATGGCTAGTCTAGGGAAGAGACGGACCAAGGGATAGCAGTCTTCCAATATTTGAGGGGCTGCCAGGGAGAGGAGGAGGGGGTCAAGCTATTTCCCAAAGAACCCGAAGGCCAGACAAGTAATAATGGATGGAAAATAATCAAGGAGAGGTTCAATCTGGAAATAAAGACAAATTTTCTGACAGTGAGAGCAATCAACCCATGGAACAGCAGTTTCCTTCAGAGGTTGTGGGAGCTTCATCCCTGGAAGCTTTCAAGAAGAGACTGGACTTTCATCTGTCAGAAATGGTGTAAGGTCTCCTGCATGGGCAGGGGGTTGGACTAAATGTCCTACAAGGTCCCTTCCAACTGTGTTAATCTAATCTAAAAGAATAATAAGAGCCAGCTTGCAGAGTTAGCAGTCAGTCAATTCAAAAATTTAGCAAGAAGACCACAAATGATTGGGTTGAGCCACATTGAGCCATAAATGATAGTTAATAAACAATAATAGTTTATTGCACGTTAAGTCCAAAACTGTGTGAAGGCTTCACGGGCAGTGTGAACCCAATCTAATTCTGTCTTCACCCAGATGTCTGTCTCTCTGGGTGAACATTCAGATGTTGCCATTCTACCAACAAACACAAAAATACAAGCAAAAAAAAAATACAAGCAAGTTTGCTTCTAGTTAAAGTTCTCTGTACTGGTGAATATATATAACTTTTAAAAAGGCAGATTTGAGAATATACTACCCAATTTCAAAGCTTTCCAGAAATTACCCTTGTGGTGAAGGCACCAGGCTAGAAATCAAGAGACTGTGAGTTCAAGTCCTTCCTTAGCCATGAAAGCCAGTTGGGTGACTTTGAGCCAGTCATTCTCCCTCACCTCACAGGGATGTTATTGTGGGGAAAATAGGAGGAGGAGGAAGGCATGTTGGATGTGTTCACCAACTTGGGTTGTTTGTAAAAGCAATAAAGGTGGGATACAATTAAATAAATCAAAATAATACCAAGAGTTCTTAAGATAGTGGTGGCTTGCATGCAAAGGTGTCCATGCACAGGGAAGTTAAAAAAAAAAGTCAACATGACCCTTGCAACTATCTTGAATTTCTCAATTCCTCTGTGGACTTTATTTTTGTCCCTATCTGTCCCTGTTTATCTGCATGACAATTAATGAGTCATAATCAATGCTAAGGGACGTGGTGGCTCAGTGGCTAAGACGCTGAGCTTGTCGATCAGAAAGGTTAGCAGTTCAGCGGTTCGAATCCCTCACGCCATGTAATGGAGCGAGCTCCCATTACTTGTCCAAGCTGCTGCCAACCTAGCAGTTTGAAAGCATGTAAATAAAACGCAAGTAGAAAAATAGGGACCACTTTGATGGGAAGGGAATGCCTTCAGGCATTTAGTCATGCTGGCCACATGACCATGGAGACGTCTTTGGACAGTGCTGGCTCTTCGGCATTTTAATGGAGATGAGCACCGCCCCCTAGAGCCAGAAACAACTAGCATGTATGTGCGAGGGGAACCTTTACCTTTAATCGATGCTAATCAAACTGTCCTCAGGCATTTAATTTTCATGCAAAGTTCATGGTTAATTTCAATGCTAATCAAACTGTCCTCAGGCATTTAATTTTCATGCAAATTTCATGGTTAACCCTTCCTAAAACTGAGTAAAAAAGCAGGGGAACATCCCACCAGCACCAACCAACACACACACACACACACAGATGGATTGCATCCCAGGACATAATATTCAGGCAAGAAGAGATGTGAAGTCCATGAACGGTACTTTCAGAATCCCAAATTGTAGGCATGGTTCAGAAATAATGTTTCAACCCTCTTTGAACAAAAAATGATAAGAAGAAAAGCAGGATTCTTTGAAAAAATAAATAAATACCCCAAATCCCAGTTTCAAGGCCTTAAAATGGCATTTTGCTACTAGTTTTTGGAAGCACACCCTGCTGCATTTTTTTTTCTGATGGTAAGACGATCTTCGAGTAGGCAGAATGGTCTGGGGCCTATCAGTCCCAGAGAGCCCCATCTTGTGCAATAAAGAACATTGTGCTGATGCAAAATAAGGAAGGAATAAAAAGATCCTCGCTAAACAGAAAATAGTATCCAAGATTAATATTTCAGCTGAATCTCAGCTCCCATTACACCCGAGCAAAGAACAATTCCCAAAAGGGAAGTTTCTGGGAGCAGAGAATGTTCGATACAAGAGTAACATCTTCCATACGAGTTTAGTGGTTTAACCAGCATTCAATACATGTTAGAAGCCCTAAGGCAGGAATGAGCCTTTAGATAACTTAGATCGCAGAGCATAGAAACGTAAGGCTGGAAGGGACCTCGGAGATCTTCTAGTCTAACACCCTGGGGACCGTGTAATTCCCAGCTTCCGACCCACCGATGCCTTTTTACAGTCATTAGAAATCCCACCTCGGCTTCATCAAAGGTCAGAAGTAAGTCCGACGTCCCCGAAAGGATTCCTCGGGACCCATCGATCAGGTAATCGCGAGCAGTGACTGAATAAGGATCCGTTTGGAGCATCTGAGCTGCCTGGACAAGTTTTGTGCAAGCATTTTCCACTCTGTAAAGAAGGATAATCAAAGCAAAATTAATGTTGGTCCTGCTACCTCCAGAAGCACAGCTGAGAGCAATGTAGGCAGTCCTTGAACTTATGATGAGCCTCCCCAGGGCTAGTTACAACCTGTTCTGACCAAGGCTTATTAAAACACTAACCAACACAGGTTAGTCCCAAAACCCTTTTTTCTTTATTTCAATGGCTGTGAATTATAGTCATTCACAGCCCGTAATGAGTCTCACACAGTTTGTAAATAGTCTCATGGAAGTCTGCCAAAGTCCTTCAGGATAAGTCTGATAAGCACCCACCTTTATCTTCCTTGAAATGCTGCCAACGACTAAATTTCCAATTAGTTATACAAGGCCAAACGGAGCACAAATTCAACACAGAGCTTCAAGTTTCAAAGCAATCAGAGCGAACAAAGTTGCTTCCTGCAAAGGCTTGTGTGCCTTTGCTCCTCCTTTATGTCTTATAGGAGGGCCAATCACCTCCAAGCCGCCCCTTTTGTCTTAACTGCTCTTGCCTTCTGGCAGTTCTGCACAAGCGCACTGGGAACAGGCTCCCCTTGTTCCTCTGCCTCGCTGCTGTCAGATTCTGGAGGCTCCAGAGTCAGCACACAACTCCCAGGTGGCCCTGGTGTCAGCTGGTGCTCCGTTCAAAATCCAGGAAAGAAATACTTAAGACTCTTGTAATTAGAGAAAAGATGTCTTTTACTGGAAGTCAGTGGTAGCAACAAGAAAATTCTGAATCTGAGTAATTAGGCACGCACATCACATATATCAAGGGAGTGAAATGTTCCCACCCCCAACAGTTCAAACGGTTCTTCCAATTAAAAGTTGTGAACTACATCATGCGGACATCTCCAGGTGGTGATGATTAGTTGACCTTGGCTTACTCAGATAAAGGGTTGCAGTTTCGCAGAGAAGAGAAAGCTAAGCAGGAATGAGAAACCCTCCCCAGTTTATACAATATCAGTTAGCAACATTTGCAGCTTACATCCCATACATTTCCCCCTTCCACTCCCCATTACTCATGGCAGCCAGAAAGAAGCAAAGGAAAAGAGGAAGATCTTGAAGGCTGACACCTGGTCCCATCTCTGTGTTGGATGCAGATCCCTCATCTGAGTCCTCCCCAGACTCCCGGACTGGTTCCTGTTCCTCCCCACTTTCCAACTCTGCTGCCATCTCCGCAGGCTGTCGGCAGACTACAACACAACCTAGATTTGAAGGTGCACATTTACAGTCACTCGCAGCATCCTGTGCAGAGGTGGTATTCAGCAGGTTCTGACCAGTTCTAGAGAACTGGTAGCGGAAATTTTGAGTCATTCAGACAACCAGCCAATACCACCTCTGACTGGCCCCACCCCTCTCTATTCTCTGCCTCCCACTGAGTCCCAGCTGATGGGCTGGGTCTTCTTTGGTTGCCCTGCACAGGAGAACAGAGCTGGAAAGCAGATTAGTGGGGTGGGGAGGGAATGGGGATTTTGCAATCACCTTCCCCTACCATACCCACCAAGCCACACCCACAGAACCGGTAGTAAAAAAATTTGAATCCCACCACTGGTCCTGTGGTCACACGATTTGCGATGTCCTTTTTGCCAGAGTCTGGTGTTCACTTCAGGTATCTGACACACACACAAAAAACACCCTTTATGGACATTAGTCTCTCTTTTAATGACTGTAGCATTTGTTTTATAGACACCTTGTTCCCTTAATGACAGCCACAAAAACAGTTGTAAAGTCAGACATGGTCACATGGTAACTTGATGCAACTTATGACTGTGATTCTGGGCTCAACTATGGCCACAATTCAAGGACAACCTATATCTCTCTTTGAAAGTCTTTCGCTTATGCGGCACAATTATTATTTCGTGCAAGGACATTTTGGAACTGCCAGATATTTGCAGCAATGGATCTATTCACAACATGACTTTCCCTGTAGATGGAATCGATCACAAACACCAATCTTCCAGGTAAAGGGGAATTGATAAGGTTAAAGAGAATAGATCGATCCAACCGATCATTCAGCAGTGAGTTTTGAAGCCCTCAAATTTAAGGTGATTTTTCTGAGCCCAACTTTCAACGCCGATGCTCATTTCACAAAAGGAAAGCAATTTATCCTCAAGGGCAGGTTTACCAGGATAATATTCCATGTCTAACACCATTCCCCCATCCTTCAAGAACAGAGCAAAATATTCATTTCACAGAAGGGAAAGGGCTGATGTTCAAAATAACACGCCTCACCCAAGCCACAAACAAACATTCTCACAAATACCTGTTTTTTTTGGAAACAGTAAAAAAACATACAAGACACATTTCATAATGATCTTCAGTTTTTGAAGATGCCTGCCCATTCCACGCTTTCCTCCTGTTGCTTTTTTGTTATTTTGTTCTGGCTTAACTGAGAAGGCTTCTAAATAAAATGCTGTGATGACCCAGGGTGGGATACAAAACGAACACAGTCACAGAAAACAGGTGAAGCCCCTTTAATTCCTTCAGTTTGCTTCCAAGTTCCGAATATCTTTGACGGAAGACAAAAAAAACTCCCACACAAACAGTTACAAGAAGAAGGAAAAAAACCCAACACAAACCAGGCTAGGTAAGAGCTGGAGGATGTCCACAGTTAACACACACTGGGAAGGATGCCAAACTCAGAGAGGAACAATAAACTAGAGATATTTAAATGATTTGTTTCCAGCGTTTGCCAGTATGCAGGTCCGTACTCTTATGCAGTTGTCACAGCTGCAGCCCATGAAGACGATCAAGGCCCTCTCCTCCCGAAGAGACCATGGCTCTCCATTATCCTCTCCTCCCTGCATGCCCTAGGATGGATATGGGATGGGCCTGGGTCCTCATCTGACTGCCCAGCCAGCCTCTGCCCTTCCCCAGCCTCCTCCACAACCTCTGGAGCCACCCTTCCACTCCCTGTCGGCTGTTCCTCCTCTCCCTCAGAGTCAGTCTCCACCAGAGGCATGACAAATGCTGGACTGGAATCCCCTCCCTATTTTTACTATCTGAGAATGACGCCCACTTCCCAATTTGGGTTTAGACGCTTTCTTAAAAAACAAGACAGGACACATACACTGCATCAGTATTTCATCTATTAAGCACACAGCTTTCCAAGATTTTTAGAAACAATTTTTTTAAAAAAAAAATCAAAGAAAAACCAATACAAAGAGTGACCCCCATCTAGCCATTGCATTATTGAACAGCATCGTGGGATTTTTATTTTTATTTTACTGCAAATCCTTTATTGGGGGGGAAAGGGACAGTATTTCTGAAACCAAAGAAAGAAAGCTCCTGTAAGTAAACAAAAATAACCAATCTGGGAATTTTCTACCAGCAAATAAAAGTCAAGAAAAATTGGTTAGCATGGAGGAAGTGGAAAAATCTGCCACAAGATCAAGTAAATTCAAAAATTTAAAACGGAGTCCTCAACTTATAACTGATCAATGAACCACTGTTTCAACAGCCTTGGATAGCAGCCTTGTCTGTTGTAAAACATTGTGCCCCCCCCCCCCCCCACACCCCGTGGTCACACAATTGCTATCCAGGTGCTTGGCAGCCCGTCCGCGCTTATAAAGTTTCCAAGTGCCCTGTGATCATGAGATCACCACCTGCAGTCTTCTCTGCAGGTTTCAATGGGGAAGCCAGCAGAAAAGTTGCAAGCAGCTGCCACAGGCCACACAGCTGAGATTCCTCCCTGTAATGTCTCACCTGTACCAACAAGGTGAGAAGTCCAAATTTCCAACTGAATGCAAACAAGCAAGCAAGTCCAGTAATTACAGGGTTAAATTCCTTGAGCTGATAAAGTTCTTGGCAGTCTCACACAAGCTGTCTGCCAAGTCCGACAAGAAAGCAGGAATATAAATCACAAGCTGTCACCGCACACAGGATACTCCGAAGCTTCTCTCACTAAGTTCGTTGTCCTGAACAAGTTCCCAGAGCGAACACACCCACTTTTATTCCCTGTGGGGTGTGTCAGTCCCTCATCTCAGTCTCTGATTCGTCCTTTCTTTCTGCGTTGCAGCTCACACTTTTGCCTGCACCGTTGCCTCGCATCAAGCCAGCATTCCTCAGCTTGATCCTCAGTCAGAGGCTCTGATACGCCCCCCTGGTTATCTGCCAACACCTGAGGCACAATCAGGGAGGAAGGTCTTGCCGAAGAGGAAAATCCTGGGGAAGAAGGCAACTCCAAATCCTCTAACAAAGCAGGCTCAAACCTCAGAGCCAAATCCTCCTCTTCCTCATTGTCCAAGTCTTCGTCCTCTAACAAAGGAGGCTCAAACCTCAAAGCCAAATCCTCCTCTTCCTCATTGTCCAAATCTTCGTCCTCTAACAGAGCAGGCTCAAACCTCCGAGCCACAACACCTCCCTATGCACATATCACAGGGATCCCTTCAAAAGCAGAAAGGGTTGCCTGACGAAGCCAGATCCTTAAGATCTGAGCTTTGTTTCTGCAGCCCGATGTAGGGACTCCTCCGAAGGGTTGCCAGAATGGGGCTCGGAAATGGAGCAATTCTCCTCCATTCCCCAAGGGAAGACCAACTCCTTCAACGGGGTGGAGCAGTGGTGGGATTCGATTTTTTTTTTTACTACCGGTTCTGTGGGTGGGGCTTGGTGGGCGTGGCAGGGGAAGGATACTGCAAAATCCCCATTCCCTCCCCACCCCACTAACCTGCTTTCCAGCTCCCTTCTCCTGTGCAGGGCAACCAAAGAAGACCCAGCCAATCAGCTGGGATTCGGGAGGCAGAGGATAGATGGGGTTGGCGGGGCCAGTCAGAGGTGGGATTTGCCGGTTCTCCGAACTACTCAACATTTCCGCTACCGGCTCTCCAGAACTGGTCAGAACCGGCTGAATACCACCTCTGGGGTGGAGGAAGGTTGCTCAGATCCTGCAGCCTTTCAGAGGAGTTTCTTTCTGTGCACAGAGAAGAACTACTAAACCCATCAGGCACCTCTTCACTTTGTCCACAACCACCCAGGAGATTGCTTAATGACTGCACC